CATGGCAAATTCCATAAAAGAGACATTTATTCAAAAAACATAATGCAGTGTGTATTTTAGCATTGCAGTTGGATGAAAACGCTGATATAACAAAGTTTGTTCAGTTATTAGTTTACATACCTTTTGAAGAAGATAAAAGAATTGCTGAAGAGTATTTTGTGAATCTCTTCATGATAGAGCAACTGCAAATAAAATTTTCAAAGAAATTGACAATTTTATGTTTCAGAATGATATTCCTTGGAATTAAGTGCATATGCAGTGATGAAACTCGGGCTTTAACAGGAAAATATTCCAGCGTTTTTCTCAAATAAAAAATGTCTCTCCTGAAAGTAAATTTACTCACTACTCTATTCATTGTGAAGCTTTAGTAGTCAAAACAATCCCTGAAAACCTCAAAATTGGTTTGAATCAAACTGTGAAAATTGTTAAATTTATTAAAAGCTGAGCTTTAAATTCGAGAATATTTACAATTTTATGTCAAGAGATGGGCAGTGAACATGAAACGCTTTTGCTACATTCTGAAGATGGTTATTCAGAGGCAAGGTTTAAAATTGTCTTTTTGAACTTCAATCAGAAATTCAAATTTTCCTGCGTGATTAAATATTTGAATAGCAAAAATGTTTATTTAGAAAATTATGGTTGGTGCATTTAGCATATTTTAACTGGTATTATGGAAAGTTAAATGAAATAAATTTAGGATTACAAGAACAAAATGTTCATTTGTTTACCATTGGAAATAAAATAAATGAAATTATAAAAAAAACTTGAGCTAATAATCAAAGAATTGGATAATAATATTTTAAGCTTTTCACCACTTTTAGAACGTTTTCTAACAGAAAATAAAAGAAGAATTTGTATATAACATTAAAATCATTGTTTTCAGTGATAAATAATTTCAACATGTACTTTCCCATGGATTATGAAAAAGAAAATTGTATCAGAAATCCTTTTTTTTTTTTTTTTTTTTTTTCAAATGTACCTGAAATTTTATCTTGTGAAGAAAGAACAATTAATAGAAATTTCCTGTGATCGAACTCTAATTGAAGATTTAAAAAATAACACACTTGCAAGCTTTTGGCTGAACAAATAAATACAAAAATAAAGGCAATTCAAAAAAAGCTATTAATTCTAATGTCTTTTTGCACAACCTGTTTGTGAACAAGTATTTTCTTCCATGTCATATTTAAAAAATAAATACAGAACAAAATGAAAAGTGCATCCTAATTTATGGTTAAAACCAAGTCAAATAAGACCAGACTTAAAGAAATTGATATCTCTTAAACAGGCCCAAATTTCGCACCAAATTTTAGAATTAAAGTATTACAGTCAAAAGTCGTTAGTTCGGACACCCACTAACGACCCCGACCTCAAAGCTACAAACTTTCTGCGCATGCATCGCGTTGACGCATGCGTGTAAGACCTTTACGGCTGCACATATGCGTGTGCGCATGTGCATAATACGTTTACACATGCGCGTTTAATGTACAACGGACGGTATAAGCTAAAATTATCGAATTATATGTTGCAGATTGCGTTGTTCTTAATCTTCGAATTAGATCCGTCTTATTACTTTTTGCAGAGTGTTAGAGAAATTTTATAAAAGTATGCTTGAACTTTCGATTATGTCAAATATAATTTCCGAGATCCAAAGGATCTACAAAGCGAAAGCATGTTTCGATGTCCATCAAACAAAAAGTGGAATTGCTGCAAAAAATGGATAAAGACATATCCTTTGTTTCTCTAATCATTTCGAAATCTGTTTATCAATTTCACGCTGCTCTGCGGCCGGGGGGGACGTGGCGGCGCGCAATGAATTGGAAGTTGATCTGTCAGCACTATCCTTATCTTCAGGGCAGATGTTTTTATTTTATTCGCCTTAAAATTCCTTACTAAATGCAGTATTTCATCTCGATGTACTCTGTCTTTGATATGATTTAAATCAAATTCCTCGTCATTATAATTCGCTTCCGATAGTGAAGAAAGTGACACAGAGGTTATTGAAAACGAAAAAATTTCGATTGACAAATTAGTCGGTATTCTCGACACAGCAATTATAGGACTTGAACAGCGGAGCTTTGTAACTGAACAAGAAATTATGTCTGTTTATAGAATTAAAGAGAAAGTATTATCACATAAAACGAAGCAACTTAAACAACTTACACTGAAAGAAATGTTTAATAAAGTAAACAAATAAATATTAAGCTTTTTTTTTTTTTTTTTTTTTTTTTTTTGTAAATTTTGATACCCTTTAGATCATAATTGTTCTTTATTTCATAAATTACAGTTTCATATTTTTAATTTTATAATTTCGGCATGCCATCTTACCAGATTTAAACTGATGATCTATAATCCGGAATCGCCGAAGTCCCGACAAGTCTGGATTAACGACTTTTGACTGTATAACTTAAAATCTGAAAGATAATTAAAATGGTAACCAATTTTTTAATCTAATATTTTTTTTTGTGTGCATCATTATACAAATAGCCGATAGGTTGTGTAAATGGCAAAATATGTATATATTTTTAATATTTCTATTGAGAAATTGAAAAATAATCATTGTAAAATGTAGTGGTGTTACTAAAGTTTTTCAGTTTTTGTTTAGCTGGTACACGTTAGTCAAAAGTTGAGAACCGTGGTAGAGGATTTTTGGTTTGCCAGTATTTTAAGTTACTCCATGCCATAGACACTATACGTTTAAGAAATGTCTCTTTTCTCTGGGATCCAATGATATAATGCAACTAATATCACTGACCACTATACTGATCAGAGCCGTACTTTTCAGATTTCAATTGGTGTTTTTTGTTTGATATTAATTTAACATTTTGCATGGTAATCTCATGCTTTTAAAAATAGTTTGTAATACTGATGTTGTGTATACTGGTGTCAGTACACCAAAACCTTGAATCTGCACAATGGTTTTTTTGAGAAAAATTCATTTTACCTTTGAAAGAGCAAATGTTGCTAGAGTATTTGATGTTTGTAAATGCATTTGTTTTGATAGCTTTTTTTAATTTTGTTTGATACAAGTTTAGGTGGTTTTAATTTTCTGTGACAGTTTTATAATTTTAATTTGTATTTTTAAAAATCTCAGTTATAATGTTTCATCCTTAGATTTAGCAGGTCCCATTTTAGATTTTTAAGAGCATGTTTCATAATTTAGAGTACAAGTGATGGTTTCAAATTAAATCACCGATTTTCAAGAAACATAAATACTTAATAACATTCAAATAATTTTTATTAATTCTCAAAGGTTATACAATCAGTTAATTTTAAAATTTTTATGGAACTAAAATTCTTTGTTTTCATTTACCTTTACAGAATAGATATATTACTCTACAAAGTCCGTAATCCGGACTCGTCGGAACTTCGGCGATTCCGGATTAGGGGTTTTTCCGGATTATGGATCATCAGTTTAAATCTGGTAAGATGGCATGCAGAAATTATATAATTAAAAATATGAAACCATAATTTATGAAATACAGAGCAATTATGATCTAAAGGGTATCAAAATTTACAAAAAAAAAAAAAAAAAAAAAAAGCTTAATATTTATTTGTTTACTTTATTAAATATTTCTTTCAATGTAAGTTGTTTAAGTTGCTTTGTTTTTTGTGCTAATACTTTCTCTTTAATTCTTTAAACAGACATAATTTCTTGTTCATTTACAAAGTTCCACTGTTAGTCAAAGTCCTGTAATTGCTATGACTAGAATACCAACTAACTTGTCAATCAAAATTTTTTCGTTTTCAATAACCTCTCTGTCAATCGGAAGCGGTATTTTCTGGATCTAGAACTATACTACAGGTTTCGCTGTCCGTTAATTGATTGATGATTGGGGCATTGCCGTCGCAATGAAAACCTTCTATTATATCATCTTCATTTATTACCGCTTCTCCACATTTCTTTACAAAATCCAATAACTGTAAAAATTTCACCTTTAGTTTGCAATGTCCGTAAATTTTTAAATTGGTGGCTATCATCTTTATCGTCCTCACCATGAAATATGGTAGCTTGCCATAAATTATGCCATGTATTTTTTAACACATTTTTGGAGACACATCCTCCCAATGCGCATTAACGCGCATGCGTACCCGCATTATGCTCATGCATAAGGAATACAAAAAAAAAGTTTGTGGCTTTGATGTCCAGATTATGGATCATTCCGGATAATGGACGTCCGGATTACGGACTTTGTACTGTAATAAAAATGTTGAAATGTCATGCATAGTAACTCCCTCTTTGCCTCCAATAAGAAACTTTTTTTTGTATGGAATACATTTATGAATTCTGAAGGCCTTGCATAAATATTTCACAGATTTTTAGTACATGTGTTTATTTATACTATATGAGCATTAATTTTGTTATAATCATTTACCCTTTATTTGAGAGAAATGTATAAACTTTTGATATTAGCTCTAAAACATATTATTAAAAAAAATCAACAGTGTAACTAAACGTTTCTGATGAAGTTTTTATTTCTAATCAGCCTACATTTTAAAAAGGAAATCGCACTTCAGAAAATAAAACTGCAATTTTTGCTGTGATTAAGCATGAAAAAGAAAAAGATTGTAAATACCAGGCAAATAAATGATCCTAAAAGAGCATGGTTCCACTTTATTGAAGATACTGGAGTAGTATTATTAGTACTCTTGAAGAACAAACTTATGTTGGTCTGTTTGTAGACTGCCAAAACAAAAATTGGGTTAATAAATCTTTATGTTAAAAGGACCACACAACACAGGAATTATTTATTGTAATTTGTAAATATGCACATTTAAAGGTAGAGCCCATTTGTATATTTCAGAAACTTTGAGGAGGAGGAAAAGATTGGATGTATTTCTTAAAGTATTGTGAAATGTGTTCTATTATCAGCCTTTGTGGAGTTTTAGAGTTTTATTAAGATAAATATTTTTAAGTGTGAAAAAATTTAAGTTTGGTTTTATGTCATGTATGTGCATCTCTCAGCAGCATTACATTGTATGTACATTTTTCTGGTTTTTAGGTACCAAGAACAATTACCAAAGATTATCCAGTCTAGGAAGCCACCGTATATTGTTCATGAAGAGTTAATTCAGATTGTGAAATGGAAGCTTATGGTATATATTTATCTATATTTTTATGAAAAGATTTTAATAGCCTCAATGTGAACTTAAGATTTTTAGTTTGTTTCATGAGTATTTGTATATTAGTAAGGTATCAGTTTCCATTAACTCAATCCTGTCTAAAAAAGTTAGCTTGGTTATTGTAAAATAACTGAAGAATTGCTGTTATGGTCAGTGTAAAGCAAAGTTATCAGTAGAAAATATAAAAAATTATATACAATATCTTTAGTAATAACATTGTCATAAGTATGTGAGAGATGTTTTTATTTATAATGGTTTAATTGCATAATCCAGAGTGTATTGTGCAAGTAAAAAAAAAAAAAAAAAATGTGCTTTATGATGCATGTTTGAACTTGGGGACGTAGCTTTTGCTTTAAATAATGATTTGATCAGTGTTTAATCTTCTGTGGCAAAAATGTATTTCTTTCAAAACAAGAAGAAGAAACTAAAAAAGATGAGGAAAAAGGAGGAAGAAACTAGGACTTAGAAGAGAAGGGCTATTTTGTGGAACTTTTCGTCCTGAAATAAATGAGGAGTGATGACATGATCATGCTGATATTTATCGCAGGGATGCAGTACACAGCAAATAAATTAGCACATTAAGTTTGAAGAAAAGCTTTAAAATAACTGTACAGGGAAAATATAATTTTAAAATAAGATAAAATACACTCATGTCCAAAATTATGTTTACATGCATAAATTCACAGATTTCTCAGAGACTATGACTTATAATTTAACGAATTATTGTGGAATCATACATAACATGATGACACATAAATGCAAAAGAAAAAATTGAAGATCACCTCATATGATATAAAATTGTAGCATGAAGCAATAAAAATGGTAATAAAGTGTGACAAAGAGAGTTAAGAAAAAAAGGAATGATTCAGAAAAAGAATTAAGTCTTACGAATTTAATATGGAATATGATCTCCCCTGACTTGTACACATATATCACAACGTGTTTTAAGGCTGGAAATAACGTTGTTAACCACAGTTTGGGGAATTAATCTCCACTCTTCCAGCAATGCCGTCTTCAGAGCATTTACATCTCTAGGAAGAGGATGTATACGTGCAATTGCTCTTCCAAGGTAGTCCCATAAGTTCTCTATCGGGTTAAGGTCAGGAGAGTTTGGTGGCCAAGACATTCGCTTAATGTCTTCACTTTCAAGGAATTCATCAACGAGGTTTGCTCGATGTGGATGGGTATTATCATCCATAAATAAAACGTCAGGTCCATATGCACCCCTGAAAAGTGTTACATAAGGATCTAAGACCTCATCTCGATATATCTGGCCTGTCACAGATCCGCTGCTGAACACGTGTAGGGGCGTACGTCCATCGATCATTATTCCACCCCATACCATCACACCTCCATTACCGAAACGGTCACGTTCCACAATGTTCGAGGGATCATTTCGTGTTCCTGACTCCCTCCAGATGTAAACACGTTTAGAATCACCAGTTAAACTAAACCGCGACTCATCAGTAAAGAGAATATGGGACCATTGATGTTCAGTCCAGTTTTGATGTTCTTTACACCAATTAAAGCGATCCCTCTTTTTCTGTGAAGACAGTAAAACACATACCCTTGGCTTTCTGGCATAAAGGCCTTTTTCATTAAGCCTTCTGTATATTGTTTGCTGTGATGCAACAGTTCCAGTGGTGGCTGCAAGCTCTGAACTTAACTGGCGAGCAGTAGCCTTTCTGTTACGACAGGCAGTTAATGCCAGATACCGATCTTCAGAAGCAGTTATCATTCATTTCCGACCTTGTCCAGGCCTCCTTACAACACTTCCATCATTTTGAAACTGTTTCCATAGCTTAGAGACAGTCTGTCTTGAAATATTCAGACATGTGGCTGTTTCCATGATTGACTGCCCTGCTTCTAAACGGCCGATAATTCGCTACTTTACAGATTCTTCCAAATGATACTTCGAAGCCATAACAAACCGCTTTGAGTCCCTACACACTGAAATCAAACGCTATGTTGCAGAAATTCACTCAAATATTCAGTTTGCGCAAAGCGCTTGATTCACCCTTGGATGGCGTAACGCCTAGATTTGCATATCACAAACCGTTTGATTACTTTTGATTGGATAATGCTAATTAGGCTTGGTTTTCACATTCCCTGCAAATACGGATCACATTGATTCGATATTTCATTGAATATCATCATTTTTGGGTATGTAAAGATAATTTTGGACATGAGTGTATGCTACTCATAACAGAGCTTAGTTTTCTTAAAAGTTGTAGTTTTTTCTTGTGTTTTTATTCTTAGTCTCTTCTTCATCTGCATAACAACTGGGAGAATTATATTACTCTAAGGTAACTATAATAATAGCTTTTTAAACTTAGGCCAAAAAAGAAATCTTATATTGGCATGGTTTGAACATGTATGGGAATCCCTTCTTCCTGTTGTTAAAGAAGATTAACTTACGTTTCATTGCTCTTGAAATTGATACTTTTATTTAAAATTTAATCTAATCTAAGACTTCTTTTTAGTCTAATTATAAATTTTACATTGACAATACACTTGCATAACATTTAAATGAATACTATATTTATACAATAACTGCTCAAGATTGGTGTCTTAAAGTTGATAAAACAACTTTACTCATGGTTTGTCTGAAGGGAATATTTAATTTTTCAAAAGGACTAACCAAGAAGGTCTTCTTTAAGCGAAATTGCTTGAATGTTTTTTTTATGATTATAAATTACCTAAAATACTTAGCTAGTTTCATTTTTTTCACTATTTGAGATTTAATTTTTGAATTTCTGATGCAAATTTTTTTTTTTTTTCTAGATGACGTCCACTTTTTTTATCACTGAGTGAACATTTTAAAATTTTTCTTTTTTTTTCCTCTCATTGTTTAATACAGTGCAAAGTCCGTAATCCGGATTCGTCAGGACTTTGGCGATTCCGGAGTAGGGTTTTTTCGGATTGTAGATCATCACTTTAAATCTGGTAAGGTGGCATGCAGAAATTATACAATTAAAAATATGAAACCGTAATTAATGAAATAAAGAGCAATTATGATCTAAAGGGTATTAAATTTTACAAAAAAAAAGCTTAATATTTATTTGTTTACTTTATTAAACATTTCTTTCAACGCGCGCATGCATGAAGCATACATTACTCTCATTCGTTACATGCATGCATAAAGCATACAAAAAAGAAAAGTTTGTGCCTTTGAGGTCCGGATTATAGATCATTTTGGATAATGGACGTCCGAATTATGGGCTTTGTACTGTATTATAATTTTATAAGAACAGTACTTGTTCCTTCAAACAATCAATACATTCTTTTTTATCTTTACAGTTAAGGTAATATTTTCATCATTAATGTAAGCTTATTTTAAAATCATCCATGTTTGATTTATTATAGTCATCATAGTTTTCATATTTGACCTCAAAATGAATTTTCTTCAGCCTTAATTTGTTCAGTCTTTCAAAAGCACTCAGCATTATTTTTATTTTTTCAGCATAGGATTGAATTTAATCAGTTTTTTTGGCGGCAGTCCTAGCAAGCGATTTTTCATGTCATCTTCACATCAATACAATCTTGTCTTTGACTCGTGTAACTTTTTTTTTTTTTTTTGGCTCCAAAGCAAATTGTCATATGGGAAAACGTGAAATACAATACCATTTCCTTTCTCATTTACATAAGGTTGTTTGCTGCAACACCCTTTGTTGCAAGAAGACATGTTACCTAAATGATACTTTAAAACATAGAAGTTAAAAGGAAAACGGTTTACAACTATAGATGCTAAATTATGTATGTGATAAAAACAAATACGGAATTAAAATTAATTTGGGAAGTGTGCATCACCAGAATATCGCTTCGCAATAGAATGTAACTACAATTTTAAACATGCAAAATCAGAGCTGATACAGCATAGTTACATTTGGCCACTTCCTTTTAAATCTCCCTATGGGGATTGCATTGACAATGGGTCACTCAAAGGAATGAACTATCCCTTCTCTTTAACCCTGGGAAAAGTGATCTGTTAAGTTTGCAGGTGTTATAACATGGTTTTAAAAAAAAATGTACGTATTACCAGAAAAACATTATTGCAGGCATACAAATAAAGTTACTTAATATATATAGAAAATGAATGTATCTAAATTAGTAATATAACAACACTACATATGAATGAAGTATATTATAAAGGTGAAATAGTGCAAAATTTAGTTTCTTCTTCTTTTTACATAAAGTGGATTTCTTCTAGCCAGCTTTTCCTACTGTAGAAGAAGCTTGTCAATTTTTGATTTAAATAACCAAGTTTTGTAACTAAGATATGTTACTAGAGTAAACATAGCTCTGTAACAAAAACAGACAGAATTTTTAGTTGAGAACATCATCTTGGCATTATTCCAGTTAATCAAAAGTTGACTGTCTAATCTTATTTTAAAATTATACATTTCTGAAAGGTAAATCACTGCATTGTTACTGCTTTTTAAAATATTACATGTAGAAATTAAGAATTTTTCAGTTATTTATTATTTTTGGTATTTTGTTTTCAGAGAGGAAAATTCCGTCCAAGGCTTATAGATTTAGTTCGCATCAATACCGAGAGTGCTGTATCAGCAACTAGCCGGAAGGCATTTAGAAAACCTCCAAAAGAACTATCTCAAGCGATAACTGCTCTTACCAATTTAAAAGGAGTTGGTCCAGCTACAGCTTCAGGTAACAGCATACTTTTAGTCTTGCATAGCATTCTTTTCAGGGTTACTGACTAATATATAATTTAGAAATGAAGTGATCTATTATTAATTTGTGTATAACTGTATTTAGCAAATAAAAGAAAAAAATGTGGATTCAAAATGAGGGAAAAGTGTTTTAACACGTTCACTGCCAAAGCTGATGTAGTATGTGTGTTCGCATGCACAAAGATCCTATCTTCATTTTTGTGCTTCAAAATTAATTTCTGTAGTTTTATTATTTAAATATAGAAAAATATGAAATAATATTTTTGGTTCTTTCACCAATTACAAGGTACTTACTTATAACTAAATAAACAATATTCAAATATTCTACCACTCAGAACTGCTTGGACAGTACATAATTTTCCATTATTCTCATATGAGTCCTTCAACAAGTGTTTGAGTAATATATTAATAACATTTCCCAAGTGAATGAACAAAAAGTTTTGCATGCTGAACATTTAATTATTCTGTTTACATTTTGAGAAATAAATTATCCATTTCAGTATGCCAAGTGTATTATTCAATTTTTTCATGTGCACCAAGCACCTAAACATTGCATACATTTGCTATGGCAATATTTGTAATATTCACATTTGGTGAATTGGGTAAGTAACGAGTTATCTCATTGCTGGCAGGTGAACTCAGTTTGCCAGCTATGAGTATTCTTGTAGGTAGCAGTGAAAACCCTTCACAAATTTATGAATGAATTCAAAACAAATTTGGTATCAGAAATTTCATCTTGTGAGCTGTTGTGGCTGATTTAGTGTCCCTGAAAAATAAATTGTTTTTTTAAACATCAATTTGTAAGAAAATTTATTTATTTTTTTAAATTTCTGTTAAAATTTTATTATTTAAAATCTTTTTTTAATGGTGGGCAACTAATGCTGCCTGAAATGAGCACCTGATATCCCAGGCTTCTAAGTCACTTCTAAAAATCTGGTATATCAGAAGTTCCAAATGTGCAGGGTTATTCAAATTTTACTATAACATAATCTGCATGGGCTGAATTATAATACTAGAACATAAGAAGTTCTGGAAGTGCTGCTTCTGGGATTATGATTCTCCGAGATTGCTTTTATTGATACTATCAGCCATTTGTTAATTTTGACTATTTTTTTTTCCTTTGAAAATTAAGAAATAACATACTCAGCGTGAGTTTTAATAAGTGCATTAAAAAAAAGCAAATACAAATCATGTATACAATGCAGACCAGGATTATTAAGTCTGTGCATTTGTGCTGGAGAAGTATAAACTAATGTATTTTAAATGGGAAAGTCTTAATGCATGGAATTAAAATTATAATTTGTCTGTAGCAAGATTATTTTTTCATAATTTTTGATAGAGACAGTTATGTTAAAGACTGCCTATATTTGTTAAATGTATATGTGCTGCATATTTGTTTAAAAAAAATTGAATTTCTTTTTTTTATAACAGTGTTATTTATCTCAGACCTCACTTTTTAAATTGTTGTCACTTAATGTTGTTACCATGTAAAGAAATAAAGAATATGTATGTATGTTGTTTCCCATTGCGGGAAAACAACGATGCGTTGAGCTACCAGATTTTAAAAAACTTAGTGATTTTCTGAATGTGTGCACCTCAAAGCTGGAATTAAATTTTTTTTTATTTCATATTTTGTACAAATTTAATGAGTATTTAATTAACAGTCTCAGCAATTTGAAGGCAAGCTGTCAACTGTTCCTGTTTGGCAAAATGTTAAATATTTATCTTCAGATTTTAATCAACAAACTCAGCTATTTGAAAATAATGTGTTTCTATTGCTAGAAATAAAATACTTTTTTCACCACCTGCCCGTGTGTTACCATTCACTAATGCCTAAAACATTTAACTTTATCAAGTAACAAACTTAGTGATTCAAAAGCAATGAAGCAAGTTCTCAATATTTTTCTTTTTAGTATGATTAATTGAATAAAAATACATCAAAATTATGAGTTTTCTAATTTGAAGTATTAATTTTTTTTTTGAAGTTGTACTAGCTGGACTCATTAACATCATTGGTACTGTTCTGTTATCAGGACTGGGTTCAGTAATATGTGTATGTATGCATGTATGTAAGTATGAATGTTTGTATTTGTATAAATATGCACATATATCACGCTGTCAGAAAATGTTAGGAAATTCAAAAATTGACCCAAAATCAGAAAATTTTTACTGCGATCCCCCCCCCAAAGCAATTTTCACGCAGATGTCATAATCGAACCATGTATCGCATGAACATCATTTAGACAGCTGGCATAGAGCCAATTTTCACAGCACCAATCAGCTTGTCTTTTAGAAAAACAAAGCAAGTTTTCAGCATCTTTGGTTTCCAGTAACTTTGAGAATCAAGAGATTTGCATGCACAGTGCATGTTTAACAAAAGTAAATCCCTCCCCCCCCCCCCCCGCCATTTTCGCCTAAAACAAAAATTTTTTAGCCTTTTCTTCTTTCTTAAATGCCTTATTTGTCATTTTGCAGTTTAAAAAAAAAATCGCAATAATCTAGGCTAACTGTTTGATATATCTGTATTCTCTAAAATACCATCAATTTTTTTAAAATTCAGTTTTTAATCCTTAAGTAATTTGTTTTAATGTTGTTCATATCATTTAATGTGTCTTCTTCTAAATTTATTTATTATTAGTTAATAATACTTTTGAAACTAATTCTAGTAGAAATACGACATACCATCATAAAATTTAATGTACATATTTCTTACTTATGTGTGCAGCTGAATTAATATGAAGTACTTGAATTTATTTAAAAATATCATTAAACAGATTTCTTTTTTCCTTTAGCTGTAGAAAAGACATTTTAAAATCCCGATTGGGCAAATTCTAATCTCAATTCTCAGTGGAGAAAACAATTTGTATTATAGTTATAAAAGTAATGCTTTTGAGGGTTTCATATATATATATATTGTTATGAAATGTACAGCCGTGGTAGGGTAGCTTCTCCTAAAGCAGTTTTAGGGTTGCCAGATTTGACGAGTAATCTGCCATTTGGCAATATGCCATGGATGGATGGAGAACCTTCTGAAACGAATTCTTACCGGATTAGCCCAGAATGTTCTCAAACACAAGGCAAAAGCTAAATAAATCCTGTTGGTACATGAAGAGTTAGTATCGAGTCAGTTAGTAAGTCTGTGTGGAGTACGCTGAGTTGGTAGACAGTCAGTGAGTGCTGAGTTGGTCTTCGAGTGCACCGAAAGTGTGTCTTAGTGAATCGTCGAGAGAGCGTGTTGAGCTCCGGAAATGTCTCAACCAAGGAAAGTGATGAGCTGGTATTCTAGTGTATCATCGAGTGCATCTCAAATTGTAGCGTGGAGAGTCTCGAGAGTACGTGGAGCTCCGAGAACGACCGAGTAGAGTCAGGAGCTGTACTCTGGTGCTTTGCAGTGAAGCTGTCTACACCGTTATAGCCTAATATTGTGAAGGCTGTGTCAGTGATTGTGTCAGTATGTTTATAGTCGTTCTTTGACGAGTGTGACTTCCGGATAACTTCTTTGACTTCCGGATAATAGAATAGTACCAAATTATTACATACTTTTTTCTTTTTTATGGAAACTGTTTTAAATGCAGTTTTAAAAGGCAGCTAGTTTTTAAAGAAATAATGCAGCAAATATATATTTAAAAAAGGGTAGCAACATTTAACACTCTATTAGGAATTCTGAAGATATGCTGGTTTTAAATATTTTGCAATTTTGCTGGGTGAATCTTATGTGGCATTAAGTGTTAAGAATGTGCTATTTAATGTAAAGTTTAAAACACAAAAATTTGCCAATAAAAAAATAAAAGAAAGTTGTGTAAGTCATTTAGAAAACTGAATATTGATATGATGAACTTACAAAAGACTGAAAAAATAGAAAATTGTATGCTACATCTTAACACTGTATTAGGAATTCTAAATGTATGATACTTTTAAAATTTTTGTGATTTTGCTGTGATTGATGTAATGTCATGTAAAATTCACATGACATTACATGTGAAGAAAGCGATGCATAAGCTAAAAAGGAAAAAAAAGTAAAGATAAAGGAGTGAATCAAAGTGAAGATTGGCGAGCTTAGACCATGAAAAAAGCTTAATTGTGGTTAAAAAAAAAATTTAACTTTCTGGTGTGATGCTAAAGTCTGAATCCTTTCAAATTTTCATCTTCCCCCCTTTTTTTTTGGATAAAAATGTGAAATTGAACTTTCATTTTGATATGCCAGGTGTTACAGTATTCTGCTTAATTTGAATGCTTTCAGCTATTCTTGCTGCTGCTTTTCCGGACGATGTTCCATACATGGCAGATGAAAGTATGCTATCTACACCAGGCATTGAAGCAACAGATTATACCCTAGCTGAATATCTTAATTATGCTGAGCATATAAAAGCATGTGCTGATCGTCTCAGGGAGTTGGGTATGTATATTGAATTTTTTTTTTTTTCAATTTTGAAATCAAAATGCTACTAATCTCTTGTGTAACCTTAAGAATTAAATTGTGCTACTTTAAGCCCTAATCTCAGTGCAGTATTTTATATACGAAAACAAAAAAGAACAGATTTAGTAGAAAGAATGCAATGTTTTTATTTTATTTATTTATATTTAAATGAACTATTCTCAGTAGAGTAACATCAATAGAATAAGAAAATGCTACCTGGAAACTATCCGCAATTGTTTATCAGAGAGGAGTGTAGTAAAAATCTTTAAGTATGGGTGACACGGAAAGGAACAGGTACAGGTAAAAGTAGCAGAACAAAATCAAAATTTCACCACTGGTTGTACAGGCATAATCCTGTTACATCAACTATGCAGCTCTGCCTCAGCTTTGATGGAGAGCACCTCGGGGCACTGTCAAATTTTCTTCTATTTCTCTTCTCCTATCATCAACCTCTAGAGAGAACTTCCGGCTTGCTGTGTATTTTGAGTGCCTCTTTGCTGTGCGGACACCATACACTTTTACAAACATCCATGCCTTGAAATTTTAATGTATCAAATTGTCCTTGACAGAAGGTGAATGAAACTATAAGAGAGAAAAAATGGTAATCCCAAAGCAATTTATGAAGTAAATACTTGTAATGTAAAATGCCTTGTAAAATATGGAAAAATAATTTAGATGGTTAATTCTCTGGGAAAAAATTAAAGTGGTAATGTGTAGCTTTTAAACTACAAGGTTCCCACCTAGGAGAAAAATTCTAAAAAAGTCAACAAAGTAAAGTAGTCTGGAAAGGACGGTGAAATTGTAAACTTTTTCTGAAAAGAAAGCGGAATTTAAAAAAAAAAAAAGTCAAGCTAAATCCTCTCAATTAATAAAAGTTTGTCTCAAGTAGTAATAATTAAATAAAAAAATATCTGAGAAAGAAAAATATGAATTACTAATCTTTCCTTTAAACTCAACTCAAGTGCGATGGAATTTTATCAACCCATAATTTCCTTCTCTATCTCTTAATAAGCTGTAATTCATTCTCTTCATTCAATGTAACTGTATCCTCTCTCTTTCCCTTCAATATATATATATATATATACAGGGGTTGGACAAAAATATGGAAACACCTTTAAAAAAACATGTTTCTTTGCTTAATATGGTGTAGGAAACCCGTTGGCATCCAAAACAGCTTGCAGTCTTCTCGGAATGGATAAATACAGTTCCTGTATGTTGGCGGTGGATAACGAGAATGCACTTTCCATTCCAATGTAGACCACAAAGGTTCGATAATATTCAGGTCTGGTGACTGTGGTGGCCAGGGGAGATGGGACAACTCATCCTCGTGCTCAGAAAACCAGTTCTGGACAATGTGAGCTGTGTGAACAGGGGCTTTGTCGTCTTGGAAGACACCATCACCATCGGGGAACAAAGTTTGTACCATGGGATGAACTTGATCGGCCAAAATGTTCACATAAGTCTTGGCAGTCATGTGCCCTGACACAGTTATCATGGGGCTACCAGAGAACCACAATAGGGCTGCCCAAACCATAACAGAACCTCCGCCATGTTTCACTCTTGGCAATAAGCAGTCTGTATTATAGGCTTGAGATGGCATTCTCCAGACGTAAACTCGGCCAGAAGTGGGAAACAATGTGAAAGAAGACTCGTCAGACCATATTACCGCTTCCACTGCTCTATAGTGCAGGCTTTATGACTTAAACACCCCCTTTTCCTGTTACGGGCCATTAGCATCACTGATGAGTGACTTCTCAATTTCAGCACGGCCAGCAATTCCCTGTTTATGAAGCTCCCTTCTAATTGTTTTGGTACTCACAGGGTTCGGTAACACAACATTCATTTCAGCAGTAACTTTTGCAGCTGTTGTCTTCTTATTTTTCGTCACAATTGCCCTTAATGATTGTCTGTCACGATCACTCAGGACACACTTTCGTCCGCACTGTGATTTAGCAGATGATGTTTTTCTGCTTTTCAAATATGCGGAATAAATCTTCGATACAGTACCTCTTGAAACACTAACACCTCGGCTACCTTGCTTACGGAAGCACCTACCATACGTGCTCCAACAATTTGCCCACATTCGAAGTCTGTTAACTCTGACATAATGCAATGACAACCTCACATAACAGTACTCTGACAACAACTGAACTGTTTAGCACATTTACGAAGTTGTATAGGTGGCGTCAGTAGTCAAAAACGCCAGCGCCACCTACATATTTCATTAAAATCAATCTTTCTTTTCAAACATGCATTTCACAAGGTGTTTCCATATTTTTGTCCATTCACTGTATGTATATAAAAGAGTAATTTAGAAATATCTACATTGTGTGGCTTTAAGTTACAATAAATAACCATGTTAAATACTTTTCCAGTCTAGTGTTAATTCTTAGCTTTTCAGTTTTGTTTCTGTCCACAATAGGAGTAATGTCTAGTATGGAGAATGCATTGTTAAAATTTTATTTGCAAAATGTAGAAGTTTTTCCAGAGTTTTTTCTTTTTAAAACTCTATCGACATTTTTAATGCATATTTTGTGTATATGTATTATGTGCATACGGGTTCATAATAGTTTGAATGCATACAGAACTAATGATAGCTTGATAAAATTTATTTCCCCTCCCAAAAATAACTTATCTTTTCAGAAAAGTACTCGTACGGCTCTTTTCAGTATGATAGAGCACAGTCAGTCGTTACCACTTCAAAATACTAAGAACATAAAACATAAAGCAAAGCACATCTAAAGAGCAGGGCTTCTTTGGATATCTCTCAATACTCAACTGAAAGCTGGGAACATGATGATGGAAACTGATAAATTCCAGTCTATTTCTCGAGACCGCCAGTACCTTCTGTTTCTCGAAAGTGCTGGAAATACAGTTAGAGTTACGTATAGGGATCGGACCAATTACAGCTATACAGAGATTGGACCAAATAGTTAATAAGATGATTTCTCCTCAAATTTGGTAACAAAAATTAGTTGCCAAAACCATCCCAGTTTGGCGGTATTTCACCAATCTCAAGAGATTTATCTCAAGTGTGATATGGACTTGTCCTTGTAACCTTAATTTTCTGGTGGAGCTTTGCAATGTAGAGGCATTTCTTGTTATGTTACACCTGAGATCTACAATTTTACATATGATATCACTAAAGTTATTTACATACATACAAAATTTGTAACAGTATATTTCTTTCATTTGCTTCACAGTAATAAGTAAGATAAATTTTTATAACATTCTTAGTTACTTCATTGTATTTTATAGTAAATGCATGAATGTATTGAGTTTCTGAAACTTAAATTGATTTACTGTGTTTGATGAAGGACATTATTCTCCTTAATAATAAAGTCCAGAAAATTAAAGTATGGATCATTTAATTTTTGCATTTCGTTTAAGACTCATAGGAAGAAAGGCAAGTGTCAGTTACCACATTATAATGCAAGATGTCTATTTTAAGAATCAAAATGAGGAAAATGTTCACAGTTTATTGCACAGTCAATGATTCATGAATTACAGCCTTTTTTCCTCAAACCAGTTTGGTATACTTTGCAGCCTATCATAAATCTTTTCGTTGTTCCTCCTATTAACATTACAGGAAAAGATCATAAATAATGAATCTAATTTAGTACCTTTTTATTGAAGCAACTATGTTGGTCAGTGGCTTAATTGCCAGAATTGGTAAAAGCAAGTTTTTAAGGTGTAATATGTTTGATTTTCAGACAGCTTTGGTTGTGACGTTGTCTGTATGATATCATCAATTCACTACCCCTTTCTCTCCTTATTTATTCTTAACCTGCAGTCTGTTGAGAATGAAGTTGTAATTTTTATGATGCTTATAAACATACAACATATTTGATTTTTACACTCTCTTTAGTTGATCTAATGTTGATCACTTTTAACTTTCCGTCAGGCGAAGAATAAGCAATAGTTTCTTCATGATATTATAAGTTCTTTCATATCCTTTGTTTCCAAAATGTTGTGTTTAGATTTTATATAATTGGCAATATGTAAGATGCAGGAAAACATCCGGTTCCATAATAGCAGCAGTTGCATAATCACAGTCAGCACAAAAGATAAGTAAATACAGTCAAAAATCGTTAATTCGGACACCCATAATCCAGAATGATCTATAATCCGGACCGCAAAGCTAAAAACTTTCTGTGCATGCGTCGCGTTGAAACATGCGCATAGGTGTTTACGTGTGCGTGTAAGACCTTTTACGACTGCACATATGCGTGTGAGCAAGCGCAGAAAAAGTTTTCGCGTGTGCATTTTATGTATAATAAAGAGTATAAGCTAAAATTATCTATTTCAGTTAATATTGATGACTGCATTGTTCCTCAATCGTCGAATTGGATCCAGCTTATTATTTTTTGCAGATTGTAAGAGCAATTTTATAAAAGTAAACTTGAACTTTTGATTATGCCAAATAGAATTTCCGATTCTGGAGCTCCCAAAGGATCGTACAAAACGAAAGTATGTTTCAATGTCCATCAAACAAAAAGTGGAATTGCTGCAAAAAATGGATAAAGACATGAAGAATGTGACAGAGAGGTTAGTGAAAACAAAAAAATTTTGATTCAGAAGTTAGTCGGTATTCTCGGCACAGCAATTAACGGGACTTGAACAGCAGAACTTTGTAACTGAACAAGAAATTATGTCTGTTTATAGAATTAAAGAGAAAGTATTATCACATAAAACGAAGCAACTTAAACAACTTACATTGAAAGAAATGTTTAATAAAGTAAACTAAATATTAAGTGTTTTTTTTTTTTTTTTTTTTTTTTTGTAAATTTTGATACCCTTTAGATTATAATTGTTCTTTATTTCATAAATTACGGTTTCATATTTTAAATTTTAGAATTTCTGCATGCCATCTTATGAGATTTAAACTGATGATCTATAAACCGGAATCGCCGAAGTCCCGACGAGTCCGGATTAACGACTTTTGACTGTATTATCTCTCCAAGTACATCGCTTTTTTCATCTTTTAAAGGTGGCCAATGTGTTAAAATTTTAAATATCACCAGATTTCAGTACCCATACCTTTTATCATATAAGCAGAACTATTTGATGTGCCAAATGAACTTGATCTCTTAAAAGGTTTTGAATATGAGGCAGAAGTTATTGAATGTGTATAAAAATTCTAAGAAAATAATGAAATAGGATCTCAAATCTATCCTGTAAGAGTAGATTGTGTTTTAAAAACTATGAAACTTGAAAACTGAAGCTGAATAAAAAGAGAAAGAGGTCAGGTACAAGCTTTTTGTAAAGAAGTGTAGAAACTTAGCATAAGCATTATCAAATGTGGATGTCTTTGAAAAGATCAGATTACTCCAAAAATAACCTGAATTTAGTGTCAATGTAATATGTCTGAAAAGAAAATCTCAAGTGGCTGTTCCAGCATCATGTGTTTTCAGTAAATGTATGTTGTTTATTTGCATTATTAAAAATACTGTGTGCTGTTTGTAATTCAAGTATTTTATTGAACATTATTATCACAAATTTATGCTGCTGTATGCTGAATGAGTGTCTTGCTCATGCAAATGAATATGATTTCCATTCAGATGTTTTAAAATTTTCATGTTGCTATGCTGAAAATTACAAAATCAAGTTCTCTTAGTCTTCAGTGTTAAATTCTAGTTCATTATTTTGATATTTGTTTATTCATGGCAAGAATGTCCCAAGAGGTGACAAAAATCATGCATTTGTAATGTAGCTTGTGCAATACATGGTGGCTTATTTTTCTAAATTTTAAATCAAATATGTAATAATTTATGTTAATGTATATTTAAAGGGATATTTAAATTTTTAGCATTTTTTGGTAAAAATGTGTTGAACGTTCTGATCTACTTTTGTGTGTATAGTTAGTTCAACTGTCTTAAACACAACCTTAGCTGTCATTCTGTCAAAACACATAGTTCTCTTTACTGGAAAGAGAGAATTTATATAACTGAGGGAGGGAAAGTCCCCATGCTATTGCTGTTTCAATTGTCTTCCATGCTTTTTAAGTTTTTCTTTTTTTATTTTATTATTTATTTGTTTATTTAAGTATTTACAGAAATAAATGCTAAAATTTGTTTTAGTTTGCATCCCGGAAACCTAGAATGTTTGAATTTTTTGTTTTAATTTATGAATTTTATACGAACAATCCATATTTTACCCTTTACTTTTAAAGATAAGGTCACTTAAAATCATGGAACTATATTCTTTTTGTAGTAAAAGAAGTAAACTGGTCAATAGGTTTCCAGTAAATCGGATTACTTAAAAGTAATTTTATCATTATATGTCTGTGCCTTCTGAACATTGTGGAAATAAACAGGAAAAAAATAAGAACAGAAAAATTTCCTGCAACGTGATTTCATCCTCCCTATTTTGAAAATAAATAGGTCCAAATGGCGCATGTGGGTTTAAGGTTAAGGCTGTTAACTATATTGTAACACATCCTGGAGGGGGGAGGAACCTTTTTAATATTTTATAACTTTCTTATCTTTATTCAATCTGTTCAACTGTCTGGATATAATATGAAATTCTTTTAGGAAAATAATTCAAATTTTCAATAGCTAACTAAGCAGTAAAAGGCTATTATGAGATCTTGTGCTTATTTGTTATAATTGGTTGCATGCTCAATGTCACAGTTAACAAGTGCCAAAATATTTTTCGCTTAGTTTCTTAAGTTAATGATTTTGTTAACAAGCATGGACACAAATTTCAGAAAACAATTAGAAAATTTCAGTTGGAGTGCTGGTACTAGGACATAGCTAAAATTTATCCAGCATGCACTGTTAAATTTCCTGAATATATTTTATGCTTTGTTTTGATTTTAACACTTTGCTTTCTGTATAATTACTGCCCAGACAGAAAAGTGGTTTGTGACTGACTGCCATATCAAAGGGGCTGAGTTCGAATTCCGGAGAAGGTATGGATATAATTTGTCCGTCCCTTCATAGGAGAGTGTACTGTCTCCATAATAAAAAGACCACTGCTTCCAACCTTAATAGTGCCGAACGCTTATAAACAGGCTGGAGCCTGCCATTGGAGGGGGTTAAATTAAGACATGTCACCCACATTTTGGGGTGAACTAAAAGTGAAATCGAAACTTTCCTTCCATTTCTTTGCAACTGATAAACTTCCCCAGAGTTAATGTTCAATTAATTCCTAATTATAAATTCTGCCAAAGAGTTGAAATTCTTTGCTAAGCAAATTGTTTTACTATTTGTTTAAAGAAAAAATATTTTTGTTAAATAAATGTTAAGATATCATGTCACAAATTCTACTGTAGAACTAAAACAATCTTTTAAATAAATTTACATTTAAAAAAGTTGCATAGAGAAAGGTAACAAGCCTTATTTTGAACTAATTGATTAAAAAATAAATAAAATGTTTTAAATGTCAGTAAATTAGAACAAGTTATTTTTGAGGGAGGGAAACAACCTTGTTGACACTCTAAAAATGTAAAACATGTCTTCTTGTATTTGGGCATATTTTCTTCTTTTAAGTTGTAACTTGTTATACAATTAAAATGGGTTTTTAAAGAGAAAGGATCTCTAACACAATGCATTGAAAAATATATAAATCCCCCCCCCAAACTATAATAGCTATTCTGAGTCAGAATCCCACCAAATAATGGCATTGATACTGTTTGTGCCTTGCACATTTTAATAACTAGAAGAAAAATGGGTTTTTAAAGAAAGACAATTTCAAACAGAATGCACTGAAAATATAAACTTTTTATTTTTTATCTTACAGTTCAAAATATTTTTTTCGTTTACCTGTTAAAGCCTAAAAGTAAAATACTTTCATTAGTATATTAAGTATTTGCAGTAGAGATGCATTTTCATTAAAAATAACTTTAAGGTAACTGGAGCTTAATATAAATTTTTTAAGGCTTTTCTGGAAATTGTATCTTTCTCCTTCTTTCTAGTAACTGTATCCTTTCTCCTATATAATTCTTTTCATTTTGATCTTTGATAATGGTCTTATATAGTAGAATCTAAATTTAGTTTCTAATACTCATTTGAGATTTCCTCTTAACGGTGGGTTTGTTATGTGCTGTGTGTTATTTTTCAATTACATCGATATTCCTTAATAATTAGTTTTTTTAGTCCTTTATCAGCTGACCTTTGAAAGATCTCTATGACACACTTTCCCTTTTCGTGTTGCAATTTAAAATGTTAAGATTCCTCCATAGTTAACCTTCATGTATAAACTAAAGCTGCAGAAAAATCATAAAAAGCAATTTCATTTTGAGCTGCAATTTATTTGATTTTGTAATGTAGCAGAAGTTATCTATCATCTTTTATTAAATTTGGTTGAGAAACAAATTATTTACAGAAGATGTATATTAGCCAGAAACTTTGCCCGTTATGAATGGATGGATTGATATGTGGGAATTGTTTACTTTTTTGATGTGTTCTTTACTTGTATTTTTGTTGTGGCTAAAAGTATTTTTAACACTGTTTTCAAAGATGTAGAGTCACAGTAATAAGTGAAGTGGCCCTTGGATAAATTTCATACTTATAATTATGGCTAGATAACTTTAGTACCAAATGCCAGGTATTAATAAAAAAGATATTTAAAGTATATTTCCTTTTAGATCCTAAAAGTAATTGGACCCCTCACAAAGTGGAATTAACCTTGTGGACGCATTACTTGGCCAGAGAATTGAAGCCATCCATTTTAGAGGGCATGCCCAAACCACCAAAAAGTGCTGAAACGTCTGAGAATGGTGAGCATGCCAGCGATGGTACAGCTGAGAATGGCAGTGTGACTGATGAACCTTCTCTCAATACCGTCATCACCAAACCTCAGATCTCAACGGATGACGAAAAAGAGCTGCCATCCGAAGAAAACACCAATGATTCTAATGCAGATTCTGGCAAAGAAAATGTTGGAGATTCTGCCGATGTTGCAGATGAGGATGAGGCCGGTGAAGCGGCAGCAGCAGTAGCAGAAAAGAGTCCGCCTGATGAACCTCCTGCCAAAAAGTTGTGTGTGGAGCAGTAAGCTGGAGCTGCGCAGCATTTAGTTTGCACAATTTTATTCAGGACTTGCAAATGGTTAAAAACAGGGAAATTTAAGAGACTCCTATTTTTTATACATAGGCTTTCTTGTATTTTTGCGCTCCATCATCAGTGTGTGCCATTGTCTGAAATTATATTTATTGCATGTGAATATCTGTTTTTGATCATAATTCACAAATGTATCAATCAATCTGAACTTCCATGAGCTTGAAGTACTTTACCTGATGTTTTGTCCCATCTGAATTAATTGTTACTTCTTTCTGAACCTAATTTTATAGTTCCAATCATGCAGTAGTCTATCTATTAAATCTCACTTTACACAGAAGCTTTTTCTAAGTAGTTCAGCCATTCAGAATGGAAGTTCTCAAGATTTGCAACTATTTGATATGGCTAATAGATCCTTGCTGGAAATTAAAAAGTACTAGAATTATAGCATGTGATTTAAAACCAAAAGCTTTGCATGTAATAATCCATCCATTACAAATTTTACATTTTGTAATACTGTGTCACGTATCTCAGGGTTAATCAGAATGTATATTAAGTTACATCAAATTGTTTAGTACTAAATTACATTTCGTATATATATATATATATATATATATATATATATATATATATATATATATATATAGCAAATGCATATTGCATATATATTATACGTATGCAGTAAGTATTTTATTTGCGATAATAGTTTTAATTTTGTGTTTCTCCACTTAACTCATTTAAACCATGGTGGAAGCATTTCATAATTTTGGTGGAGAATGAGGTCAGCCTTAAGTATTGAGTTTTAGTTTATAAAAAACTACTTTTTTTCAAGTTTGGTGTTTATTACATTTCCTGTACTTTTTGTTGTTTAATTTATAAAACACATTAGTCTAAATTTAAATAAATGTCTGTGTATTTTTAGAATTTTGAAAAGGAGGGGGACAATTACCCTCTAGCAGTGGTAAAGGGGATTCATGTATGTTTGAGAAAAGGCTGAGAAAACTGCACTGCACAGTTTAACCTTTTTAGGCCAAACAAAGAGTTTTACGTATATAACTCTGGGGATGGAGACTGACACAAACAATTGTCTTTCACCATGTGTACATGGTACTAGCCTTTTTATGTGCATTTCCATCAACCATATATACATGATAGTCTATGCAACAATTAGTCTATCCACACTAGACTAATTGTTGATTTACTAAGAACCTCTTTGCATAACATTTCTAGAGAACTGAGTAAGACAGATACTATTTGCTGATGTTCAATAAGAGTCTTTTGTATTATTATTATTATTTTTGAGGGGGAGACATGGCAGTAGCATTCTATTATTTCATGTACTTTCATACTTTCCTGTCTACCATGAAAATTGGTAAATATCCTACCAAACTTATTCCAGTCATCCTGGCAGAAATTTGAAGAAGTGGATTATTCATTAGTAGCCATAATAACAGATTGCAAGCACAATAATAGTTTATAATTCTGAAGTTCTTAAACTACACCTTTTTTTAATGGATATTTACCTATCGCAGTTTTTCAGTTTGATCCATCCCGTATTTTACCTAGGATCTTCTAACTTTGAAAATACTCTGCTGCATGCTATTCTTATTCTGTAGAAGACAGTTCCCAAACTTAATTTTTTTTTTTTTTTTTTTTTTTCCAAGTGCAAGAGAAAAACAGAGAAACAGCATTTAATTTATATTCATCTTTACAAAATTAAGCTGGCATATTAGATTTATATAAAATCAAAGTGAAGAACATGAATGCCATAGCTCTTTCTCCCAGTAAAACTGGGAGACTTTTAAACTTTTTCATCATATATCTTGATTTTTACTTTCTAGTATTTACCAATGAAAATGTTTTCCAGCAGTAAATAAAGCTTAGTGAATTAATGAAACCTAAATTGTGAAAATTCATTTCCTACCCACCCCAGTGATTTTCAATATGATTTTTTCTATTAAAGTTTTTTATCTGAATTAATGTCATTGTTATTGTAGTCATCTGTAGAATTTTTTATGAAGGTTTAAAATATGTTTAATCTTTTAATATTTGTATATAGTTTTGTTGTACAGTGGTGTATCCTACATTACTATCTGTATGGTAGAATGTGCATTATTAATTTTCTTCGTATTAAAGTACTTAACTTTTCTTCCCTACTTATGATTTTTTCAGTTTAAAAGTGTAAGAAAATTAAAGTTTAAATTAACTAGCAAATATAAAATTTATAATATCTAATTAAATATTATAAATTATAAATAATTCATTCTGAATCATTCAGTAACCTGAATCTCAAATTATAAAGTTAATTTAGAATTTTTTTTTTTTTTTTTTTTTTTTTTTTTTTTTTGAAGTGGATGTTTTTGAGCAACACAAAAAGCTCCCAGAAACTTTTCTTTTTCATATTCTGAGATTAGCTGCTATGGAACATGTGATTTTATGCTTATGTATTATTGGTTCTAAATGTTACTGTTTGGCTACAATTTTTGCTTGTTGAATGGTGATGGGAAAGTAAGCAGGTGCCATCTGTCCCGAGAAAAGTATGAGAACGCATTATATAGTATTGAGCGAAATTTAATAATGTTAAAATATTAAGCAAAGTACAATTCTTGCAGTTTTCTTCCCTTTGTGTGAAGTATTTATTTAGATTGCAGATATTTTGGTCAAATCACATGCTGTAAATTTGCCGAATAAGATTATCCATTTAGTTAAATTATCCAAATAGTTTCTTTATTCCCCCTGAATACTTAATATCAGTTTTAGATGTACTTAAGTTATTGTATGTGGGATAGCAAAACAAGTCATTGACAGAATTGTGAGATACATTTGTAAATTTTTCTTTCTATCCTATTGCAGGTTTTGAAATGTAAACAATGTAAATGCAAGATTGCTCTAGCACACAGTATGGTAGACTGTTTATACCTACTTAAATATAGGTATTTTCCTTTGTCCGTTGTTTAAGTATATTCTTGCAGATTTAATTTATGTCAACTTCTTTAGCATAATTTCAGATGACAAAATTTTTTTTATTGAATATTGATATATATATATATATATATATAACTGAATTGATTGCTGTTGATAAACACAGAACTGTGTTGTCCTGTGTTATTAGCATATTAGTTTGTATATTTCCATTTTTATAGTAGGGTATTTTTAACTGAGATGACATAATTATTGATTATGCATGGACTTTGTAATGTATTTGCATTTATAAAAAATTGCACCAAGATCAGAAATTAAAACCTGTTTTTGGTGGGATTTTTTTTTTTTTTTTTTTTTTTTCCCTTTGTTTTCATATATTTTTTACTTTTTTGGTCTGTGGGTAGTCAGTCGTCAGTAAACGCGCAAATGTTGCTCGAGTGATGATTTGATTTTTGCTGTATTCAAGCAACATTTGTTGCCTAAATGCATTCTGTAAATTGTTTCTCTCTTTTTATATAAAAATATTGCAGCTATTAAATATTACTTGGATATTTATCAAGTGAACTTCTGTATTTGTTAATATCTATAGATCTTGCTTTTTCTTCTGCTGTGTATTTGCATATGTGAAAGGCATCTAAGATGACAAACAGGCTTTTGTATAGAGCTTATCTGAAATATCTGATCTTGGTGTCTTGACATGATGTCAGTAGTAACTTTGCAAGTCCAAAGACAGCCAGTGAAAATCACTGCCTTTTTAATTTTGCTAGAATTGAATACAATTCAGCAACTCTACTGCTTTCTGAAACTCCTGATTAATGCTGATTCATCTCTCCATACATTTTTTACATATTGTATTCATCTCATTGGCTACCGAGTCATCTACATGTTAATTGGTTATTTAAAAGGATGTGTTTTTATTTGGGATGTGTCTTCTTCCCCCCCCCTTCCCCCCGTGAAAAGTGAGCTATAATTGGAACACCTTTCCATAATATTTTCTGTATGTTTTAAACACTTTATTGCTCCTGCAAACTGGTACTTGTGTAAAGATTTATTTGTCTGACTGGTGGCATGTTAATAAATGTGCACCGAATTGCATTCCAAGACGAAATAGATACCTTCAACAATGGCACATTCCATCTTAGGTAATTTTTCATGTGTAATGCTACATTCTTTTCAATACTGTATTGTGGATACTTTTCCCATTTTTGTACATAAAATAGTGTGGTTCTCAAAGTGTGGATTGGTATGTATCTGCACATGACAAGAACCTTTAGTATGTTTTTACCTGTTTGAAAACACTTACTGTTATTTCCTATATTCATGCACAATTATTTCTTATGCTTTCCCTATATCTGGAAAAGGTATTTTAAAAGGGGAAGGAAACATAAATCTCAGGAATTTCATGTTCACTACATGTAATATCAGTGACATGTTCAGTATTGTGCAGTGATTCATCATTTAAGTTAGTATCTGTTGAGAATCACAGTTTATTGCTAAAAAAAATAATGCATATTGCATCATTACAGAATGTCCTAACTCAGCACATATTTAATTATTGAATTTCATATTTCTGAAGTCAATTGTACTGATATAGTTTTTTTAATTGCTTGATCATGAACCTAATGGGGAAGGGATAATTGTACTGACTAACTAAAGCATAAATTGTTTTTGCAAATTGACAAAAGTATGAGTTATAAATTATTTCAAAATGAATTTGATTTATTCTGCTAGCCTTCTGATTAAAATGATATAGATTTTTAAAATTATAAATTTCTAAGATTTTTCTATTCTGTTTTCAGTACATATAATGAATTGCTCTAGTATGAATATCAACATTAAACAACAACTTTAAACATATGTTGGTTTATTAAATATTTTAATCTCATATTCCACTTCAGGTTTGGTACAATTTATAATACATGCAAAAGATTTAATTTCAGACATTTTGAAGTATTAATTCTGAAACAATACATATTGCTTGACCACTAATTGAAGTTTAAATATGACTTGTAGGGTAAAGAAACTGAATATAAGGGGAACTTATTTGATGTAGGCATATATGGCTGTATAAAAATATATTCTTTAGCAGTGATAATTATTTTCATCTTGAAAATTGATTGGAATACTCATCTTTGTTTCCTGTCACTGCACATCACTGGCCGTATTCTACTGATTCAATGCGCTGTTCCCCGTTCCCAGAAAATATTGAAATGCATAATAAATTTTAATCTTTTTTATTTGTTGTATAAATTCTTAATTAAAACTGCATATTTCTCTTTGAAATGGGGTATTTTCAAGTATTGCTATGAATAAAGTGTGAAATATTTGCTGTTCTAAACAAAACTTTGAGAACCACTATTTATTTGTAAAAATTGTGTGTGTGTATGCGCGCGTGCGTGTGTACAGTACCTCATGAAACTGGTACTTTTTTAATGAGATTAAATAAGATTGAATAAATCCCTGAAACCGAGATCTGAAACTGACGGGTCATTGTAGTGCCCTTATAAAAATGCCTTTTAATACGA